GATGGAAGATCTTCCTCTCTGTTTCTCCTTCTCTCTGTATATCTGACTTTGTAATGAAAATAAATGAATCTTTAAAAAAAAAAAAGAAAGAAAAGATGCTCAGGCTCCCTAGCCACCAGGGAGATATAAATGAAAACCACATAGAGGCTTCACCTAATGCCAATGAGATTGGCCTACATTCAGAACTCTATTCACAACACCTGCTGCTGTGGATGTGGGGAGATAAATACCCTCCTTCACTGCTGTTGGGAGTGTAGGCTAGTACAACTATGGACATCAGTATGGAGAGTGCTTAGAGAATTGCAAACAAACCTGCCATATGACCCAGCTATACTGATGCTAGGAATATACCCAAAGAAAATGAAAACTGCGTATGTGAAGGGGATCTGTAATTCTATATATGCAGCAGCACAATCTACAATAGCAAAGACATGGAAACTATCCAGATTCTCATCCAAAGAGGAGTGCTTAAAGAAACTGGTACATCTATTCCATAGAATATTACTCAGCCATTAAAAAGAATGAAATCATATCTTTTGCAACTAGATGGTCCCAAGTAGAGACCATTATGCTCAGCGAAATACATCAACCCCAAAAGAACAAATACCATGTTCACCCTAATATAAGGAAACAATCATGCAAATTGTAAGTTTAATAACTCATTCCATACTGTTTTTTTTGCTGCATCCCATGTGTTTTGGTGTTTTTTTATTTCATTTTCATTTCTCTAAAATAATTTCTCTTATTGAATTCATCACTGGCTTGTGGATCACATGGTGGCATCATTTTACCCAAGAGGCTTTTGTATTTTTTTTTTCACCACCCATGCATTCAGTGATGCATTTTTTTTTTTACACCATGGTGCTGTAACTTTGTTGTTGTTGTTGTTTTAACTTCGTACCTGTTATTGACTTTGTTTTGTGGCTTCTCATTTAAGGGAATGTATAGTGATGACATGGAGAGCCTACCATATCCAGATGTGAAGATACAGTGCCATATGCATCCCTACTTCCAAATCAAATATGGACTCCCAATGAGACATCTAGACAATGGGATGCTGGAATGTCTGACACTGTACCAACAATGTCAGGACACGTTTGATGGAATTATAGCTCCTTATACAGGACCATACTATTGCAACCATGTGAGGAAAATCAGTCATTGGTGGGAGTTTGAGGTGGGGAGAATCCCAGACTCTATGGAATTGTACCATAAAATTCAAAATAAAAATTTAAAAAATCATCTATCTAGGGCTGGCACTGCTGTGTTGTAGGTAAAGTGATCAGTTGTAACACTCTCGTCCCATAGGGGCATGGGCTCAAGCCCTGGCTTCTCTACTTCCTTTTTAAAAATTATTTGTTATTAACATTGTATTATGTGATACAGTTTTATAAGCACTGGGGATTCCCCCCACCCCTCCCACAGCCCTCTTCCCACAGTGGATTGCTCCACCTTGCTGCATAACCGTGGTTCAAGTTCCGTTGAAATTCTTTCATTGCAAGCATATACCTAACATAAAGTCCAGTGTCTTATTGTCCAGATAAGTTCAGTGGCCTCTTGGGGAGACCTTCTCTGGTCTCCAGGTAGAGCTGACAGAGTAAAGTTCCGGTCAGTTAAAATCCCCAACAAAACATCAGTGTCAATATACAACAAATCTACTTCCAATCAACAGAAGATGGCACCTGTGTGGAAGACCTGGATGAAACAGGCTATGGACAGTCCTGTTGCTCATGATAATCTTGGCTGATGAAAAGGACGTGTTTGCCATACCCCCAGATATTTTCAGCAGTTCCGTGGTCCTGTTGGATCACTTGCATTCTACATACCCAAAAGGGAAGAGAGGAAGTAGAAAACTTTCCCTAGGCACCTTAAGGTGTCATGAGGCAAATGGTGTGAGAGCACTTCTCACATTCCACTAGTGAAAGCTGTTCTTCAGCTGCAGCCACCTGCCAAGGCACCTGGGAAATATGGTAGAGTTGGATAGCCATGCTCCCAGCAGCGGTCCTTTACTGTAGAAAAGCAAGAATGAATCTTAGAAGACAAGTAGTAGACCCTGCCATAGGATCTATGCAGCCAAATAATAGGAATGGCAATTATAATAGAGAAGCATGTTTCAAATGTTGATGTTATCAAGTTGCTATGTATTTAGCTGGCATTGATACAGAAGACATTCCACAGATAAAGATCCATGCTTTTCAGATTTACATACTGTTTTCTTACAGATATGAAAGGATCTTTAAGAAAGGACTGATTTATACTATTTAATTCTTAGGACAGCATTTCATGTAGAGGTTGACTGAGAATCTAGGGCTACCGTCTACTAGGAGTAGAAAGACTGCTAAGATACAGCCCGGTCTTGAAAGAGTTCATGGGATAGCAGCAGAGATGTCCAAAGAATTTCTTTTTATGTTTTTGAAAAGGTAATTTTTCTTTTATCAACATTTACCTGAAATCATACACATAACTCAGTGAATACCTGGGAGTTTGTGCAAAGGGAGGCGTGATGAAACACGTAGAACTAAATATGGAAGCCTGCTCCATCTTCCAAGGCTCTAGAATGGAAGAGAGATGTCAAAGAGGGAAGTGCAAGTTTCTCAGTGTTTATGACCCCTAAAATTCATATATGGGAAGAGGTGACACCTCGGGAAGTGATTGACTAGGTCTAGTGGGTAGAGTCTTCATTCATGCATTTAGTGCCCTTATGTGGAGAACCCAGAGCTTAGCTGCTTTTTCCTCTTGAAGACCAGGGAGACTTGAGACCCAAAGAAGTCCACACCAAGTGGCACTTACTCAAAAGAGCCAGAGGATCATGAAGAGGAATTGCCCCAGGGACCATGTGCAAAGACAAGTGCAATTCAGTGAGGCAGAGGAAAGGTGTGTGGAAGAGTTAACGTAGCAAGCTGGCTTGAGATGGACCTGTGTACATGACTGGTCCTTCGTGGTGTCTGGGAACTGGGATCTGAGAACAGTTTCCAACACCTTCACTGCTAAGGGTAACTCACTGTGCACAAATTACAAGCTCACACAATGTGATTTAAATGCTTGCTTTCTGGAATTAGTATTATGTGCCAGGTAGAGGGTACTGACAACTCTGACCCCAATGAAATCCATAATTATGAAGTTTCTAATGAGATTTTCCACCAATACCCATGTGCCGTCACAACTTTAGTGGAGGAATTATGTCCAATGTGACTCTACTGGGAGAGGATTGTGGGAAGCTTGCACTTGGATTGCCATGAACTTTGTCCCACACATCTTTTACCTTAGATTCTTACTGAAATAAACTTCTGCCATCTGCACATCCACAGTCTGCATACTTTAATCCTCCTGGGGAATTATTGGGTATAGGGATGGTCTTAGAGACCCCTGAAACAGCCAGCCTTACCAGAGTAATACAGTGAAAAATGCCTACCCCATGCTGTACTTTCTAACCTCCACTATAGAGATATATTTTAATTCCCATGTTCCAGAATTCACCACCTAATTATTTTGGCATGTTTTTGTTAATATACTATAACCACTCAGAAATTTTTGGAGTTTGCTAAGCTACTGTCATACACAGACTGTATTTTCTGTAATGTACAAGAGAGCTGGACACAAACTCCATACTGAAATACACTTTTATGGCTGCTTTCACTAATATTCTCACTAAGAGAGGAGCTAATGAGTAGCAAGAGCACTGCACCTGTCCGCGTCTGTCTGTCACAGGATGAGTTTGTGCCAAACTTAGTAACACAAACCACAATGTTTTAGGATATGTTTTTTACTTTGAGTATGCAAGATAAGGGATTATAGACCCATGGTGCCATCTTTCTGTGCTTATCAGCAAATTGAGAATTAGAGAAGCTAATTGATTTTCCAGCGGTAGCACAGCTTGTACCTGAGCTGTATTTTAAGTCTAGTGATGTCTAGGCCACATGCCAGAGGATTCTTATCTATTGTCCTTCTAGTTTATTTTATAATGGTTTCTTCTGCCTCTGAACAGCACTTAAGGGAGGGTGGTGTGGGGAAAAGTGGGGGCAGAAAGAAAATACTGGTCCTTCTTCAGAACAAATAAATTGATATTTTCCTTTTCCCATAACCTGATTCCAAATAGATGACTTTATTTTTGGCTTCTCTGAATCTAATTAAATAGCAAGACCCAAGAGGTATGAAAAGGCCCTATAGACATAGATCTTCCTAATTTCTTTCTTAGGGTGTTTCTGTTATGTTCTTAGTTGTGGCCACTCATTCTAAGAACGTGTCTGTCTGTCTGTCTGTCCATCTTCACTTGATTTGTGCCAGCAGGAATATGTTTTTATTCCTTTATCTCCTCATCTTATTTAGTGCAAGATACTCAATCATAATTGGAGTTGATGTTTTTCATTTAACTGAGTAGAAATTTTACTTATCCTGGGTGGAAGACCAGTTAGCTCACATCTCTTGGAAATAATTCCTAATAGACTTAAATACTTTTTGCCTTCATTGTGATGACAAGGAGATGATTTATAGAAAAACAAAAGAAAAAAAATTGTTTCAGAAAATAGCTTCCTTCAATAAAATAATAATAATAATAAATATGTTCTGGAGGAGGATCTGGGGGACAAATCCCTTGGCAACCAAAAAATGTAAACCTCTAAATTTTCAATTGTGCTGCTTCACCCCACCTGCCCTTTGCTTTTAAAACAAATGCTCCATCAGTTACAAAGATGTTGATAATCCAACATTCTCAGGACTTTACATCCCCCGAGCATTTATTATGCTAATGAGTCTGTTCTGCCTCCATCTGCAAGCTAGATTAGTTTAATTCTAAATGAAGTCTCCTTTTTTTCATATTTGACACATGCTTTAGTAGGGCCCAGAAAATGGTTCTTGCTCAGTGTAGTTAGGAATTCTGATATGTGAGTATGCTTACACAGTCAATATTCTGCACAAGGGTTTTATTGCATCCAGTGACACCACTAATCATTTTATTTGACTCTTAATTGAAAACCTCTGGTTCTTTTCTCTGCCTCTTCCAGCGACAGTTTTCTTGGAATTTTGGAAAAGACGGCGAGCAGTCATTGCTTACGACTGGGACTTGATAGACTGGGAAGAGGAGGAGGTTTGTACCATTTACCTCGGAGTTTGTTTGTTTGTTTGTTACAATTGTTATTATTTTCCATAATACAGTGTTGTCAATCTAGGGATTCTCCACTTCCTTCCCCACTACCCCTCCACCATTCTCTCCCTAATTTTTACAGTACTAAAGTCCTTTAGCAACCATTACAAGTTTAGAATTCTGCTATTTAAGTGCATGATGGTACTGTAGATATAGACAAGGTAAAAATCTAGTATCATGTTGTCAAGCTATATTTAACTGTCTCACTGGGAGTCCTCTTTTTATCTGCGAGTAGAGATACCTACTGCAATGTACCTTCGCTTCTGGTATGCTAGTCTCTGTTACACAGTTCATCTATGAGGATGTTTATTTACCCATATGTCTGTTTTTCTCATGTGTGGATGAAGTTTGCCTTGTAAAAGAGAGAGAACATATGATAACTCAGAATTTTTTTTTAAAAAAGATGTTTAATACCTGTCTGTAAAACATTTTAAGCTGTCTAAAAGGGGTCTTGCAGAATATTTTTTAAAAGACTACATTCTGAAAAAAAAATAATAATAAAATAAAAATAAAAATAAAAGACTACATTCTGATTTGTTAGCATAGTAAAATTGCCTGAGTATATGAAGAATTCTACTTGGAGACCACCAAACGCATTGATAGTAAAGTTTTATTTCAGTTTCTTAAATTCCACCCATTTGCTTCAGCAGAAAGAGGGTATGCACAACTCATGGAAAATATAGGTAAACCTCCCAAAAGAAGAAATTCATGGGCCTGTTGCAATGAGAACTCTGGTACCCAGGCAGTATCCAGATGTGCCAGGCCCAGAGGAGGCTTCCCTGGTGGATGTGGCGGAATGTAGGGCCAACTGTGAGCCAAACCATCTAGTGTATCATCAGTCCCTGGGACTGCCCTTTCTTGGCATATTCCCAAGTGCCCCCACACTCCCTTCCCTCCTCTGGACCAGCACACTGTCTTTCCCTAGCTGTGTGCTATCTTGTTGCCCGGGCCTGCCCATGCCTACTGGGTTTGAGTACCACAGGACCCTGCTGGCTCTTCACTGTTGTCCTGGCCTCAACCATTTTTCCTTCCTCACATAGATCTCTTACTCAGAGCTTCACTATGCTGGTGAATCGCATAAACTAATCACATGTTGTAATACGGGGATTAATGGATGTCTTCCCTGTGTATATATTTTTATATATTAAAAGGAACCTTCTAGAACCCTACATAATAAGAATTCTATCCTTGTAATAAGCTTGATGAAGAGTTTTTTGCTTGTTTGTTTGTTTTGGGTTTTTAAAATTTTCTTTAACTTACGCCTTGTGAATGGCAACTTTTTCTCTGTATTCTGTGAATATGCTTCTGTTCTCAAATGATATCCAATCAGTCACACAAATGACATCCATCCAGTTGTTCTCATACAAATGTGATCTATTAGTTGTAGTGCTGTGCTCGCTGACCTTCTAGGGTCACAAAGTCCTTACAGGCATGTAGGAAAAACCTGGCTACACTAACAGAATTGTGCACAGAAGCTGCTATCAATGTGTACCCATTCTCCATGGTCTTTCTTATCATTCACTTCTTTTCTGTCACTACCTTCATTGGCTTCTCCAACCTTCCTGCCTGGATTGACTCGGCTTCCCTTTCGCCAGTTTCTGCTCATTCTCCGTGGCTTTCAAGGCACTCCAACAGAGCAGGTGCTTAATTCACTGGAACCACTTCAGTGTAACCTCTTGCTCATTGTCTCCTCCTAATCCAGGAATTGCTTTTTAGTCAGGCACTCTGCACATGTGTACGGGACTTCCTGTATGAAAAGAAGCTTCATTTTGAATTAGAATTGGAAAAGCCTTGATTTTAGCTGATTCTGAAAGGTGCTTTCTCTGTTTTAAATGCCAATTAGCACGACATTGAAAATCTATTGATTACGGATAAATGACTTATAGGAAAATATTAAAAAGAGATGCAGCATGTTTTCAGTAGACTGTCTAAAAATGAAGAAAAGCAGGATAAAACTATGAATTATACTGTCATTAAAACCACAAAATGGATTTAAACGTTTTCTTGTTCAGATACCACCTTTGTGCTTGTGTCCATTTTACTGCCTCATAATAAAAGTAAAAACTTAATAAACGTTCCTGACCATTAGGTAAAGACAGGTGGTCCTACTAACAACTATGATTCTCAGTTTATTGCTTTAATCCTAGCTTCATAATGGAGGAACTAAATGCCAGCTTAAATTACATTGCTAGCTTTTAATGATAATAAATTTTGACCTTCAGTCTTTAGAGTCTTTAGGTGGTTTTTTGTGTGTTTTTTTGTTTGTTTGTTTGTTTTGTTTTACAAATTTTACCTTCCAAATATTTCAGTCTAAGTCCCCAAGTCCAGTCCACTTCATTGGTTGACTGAATCATGAGGCAGTCATTTTGTGGTACTTTAAAATAGGCTTTATTTCTTGAATAAGCACTTCTTCAATGCATACATGCATATCTGCTTGTTCTTTAGGAGGAAATCCGACCTCAGTTTGAAGCCAAGTATTCCAAGAAGGAGCGGATGAATCCCATTTCAGGAAAGCCGGAACCTTACCAAGCGTTTGCAGACAAGTGCAGCAGACTTATCGTTTCTGCATCTGGGATCTTTTTTATGGTTTGAAGCTCTTTTTTTAATAAGATTGTTTCATAAAATACAAGCTCGTTGCATAATAGCAGTAACAATATCAGGCATTCGCATAGTTTTTACAAATCATTTTTCACACATGGTATGGTTTAGCTATAATGGTCTGGAATAACGTTGCTGTCCCCATAAAATAGATGGCACAACGGAGGCTCCACAAGGTTACAGGGCATTTTCAGGGTCATCAGATTAGTAGCCAAAAACCCAGACATTCTAATCCAGTGCTCCTTCCACACACAGTGTTCCATTTTGTCACACTGAAAGGAACTAAAAATGTGAACTAAAATCTACAACAGTGTTTTTCTAACTTGTTTCCACCATGCCCATACAATAAACAATATGAAAAAAAGTGGACAGATAGAAACAATAAGTTATTTTCATGCCCAAAATTGAAATACATGCATAAATTCTTCATAATATACATTTTCCGTGAATTTTTCAAAGACCTACGTGTATGCATGAATTTTATTTTTTCACTGAAATATGCCTATCTGACTATGCTATCATTTATATCTTTAAGCTCATTTTTAATTAATATTCTGACGTATTTTTATACATTCTCTGTCATAACCAGGATGTGCTATGCACATAGATGTATGAGTACATAGCTGATTGTCATAACCAAAACAGTGCTCAATTTTACAATAGGCAATGCTTTTTTTGTTTTATGATGGTGTTAGCTTTTTTGTTAGTGCCAGATACATCTTGCTGAAGTAGATCTCATTAATGGTCACATCAGCTTGAGAAGCAGTGGGAGCCAGTTGGATAACTCTAAGAAGTTAATTTGTGATGAACTTGGATATTTCTGATATTGATATACATATGCAAATCCCATAAGGGATGGTTTAAACTCCTCTTTTCGGATCATGTGCCTGTGAATATCCTAGAATTTAATAGTAGAAAAGACAAGGAGATTCCCCACATCTTGTCAGTGAAGACACCAGGAGTGTCCAAGGCTGGGCAGCTTGCCCAACAACTCTTGATCAAGGTTGGCACCAGCCCCTTCTATAGATATGACTTTGTAAATGAGTGTGTCATGCTTTGCCCTGTACCCACATTCATATGTGCTGACTTGGTAATCATAGTAGAGTTACAGACAAATAGAGACTTCCTTAGTCTTCAGCTGGGGAACCTGGAGCACAGGAGGCCCAAGCCATGAAGACAAGCTTGCCCAAGATCACACTGCTGGGGAAATATCTGAGCAGGAATCCTGACCTGTTATCTAACTTGAGGCCAGCGAAGTGTGTATTCCACTCTGTGATCTTACCCCCCAGAGCTAAATTTCAGGGCAGATTTCTCCCGTGTACTTATCAACAGATCCAGGGTTAACACCTCATCAAATTTTTTATGTGTTTTTATTACTTTTGTTAGTTCCAGATAGAGGTCATCCTCAAGCTTTTGGAACATTTCACCCTTAAGTGTTAGTGGAAAATAAAGTTTGTGCTTAGAAGTGGGATGCTAGTGTGAAGGAAGGAATCTGAGTCAACAGAGCTGCCCTGAGGCCTGGCTTTACGATCCAGCTTTGGATGATGGATTGAGATGAGGTCCCTAGGACATATTAGAAAGACCTAATAGAAGTCACAAAGGTTTTGGGGGTTTCAGTTTCTCACTATAGCAATGGGAGATGCGCCATGTCGTCTTCAAACACCATGAAATCTTCAGGGAAAGCAGCTTCAGTCCACAGATACATCTGTTTGATAAAGCATTGTATACTTATTTGCACAGCTGGTTCACTCAACAGTTAACTGAGCACCTTCTATGCACCTGTAGTCATATGAAGATGCTGCACAAAGTGTGGTGACTGAAGCAGATGCCATTCCTCCTCCATGGAGCTGCTTTTCTAGTACAGACTGTTGACAGTAATCAAGCAGATAAATTACTGGAAATTACCGTTAGTATCCTGAAAGGAGATATAAACCCATAGGGTATAAATAAAACATAACAACTGCAATAAGAGCAGCCTGGGGGCCATGCCGAGATTTGATTGTGAAGTAGTGCTTGAGCAGAGAAGTGAAAAAGAATGAGTAGATGCGTACTAGGCTGCTGTATACGTACGTGCATGCGTGTTCTAGGAGACTGGGTGGAAAGTTATTGCAGCAAAAAAGTGATCATAAACAGTGAGGACACTTGGTCCATTTGAAGCAGTGAGAGAAGGTATGGGATCTCCAGAGGAAAGGTAGAATAGCCCATGGGGTTGAAAACACCAGGCTGGCCACAATAAGGACTTCGCTTTTAGTCTCTGTTTTTTAAGATTTATGTATTTTTATTGGAAAGGCAGATATACAGAGAGGAGGAGAGACAGAGAGCAAGATCTTCCATCCAATGGTTCATTCCCCAAGCAGCCGCAATGGCTGGAGCCGATCCGGAGCCAGGGGCCAGGAGCTCTTCCAGGTCTCCCACAAAGGTGCAGGGTCTCAAGGCTATGGGCCATCCTCTACTGCTTTTCCATGCCACAAGCAGGGAGCTGGATGAGAAGCAGGGCAACCAGGATCAGAACCAGTGACCATATGGGATTCTGGTGTATGCGAGGCAATGACTTTAACCACTATGCTATTGCACTGGGCCCAGAACTTTGCTTTTATTCTTGAATAACTCTGAACAGAAAAGTAACAAGCTAGGATTCTCATAATAAATATTATTTCTCTGCTCAGTCTGAGATTCCACTTAAAAAGGTGCTATCCCATAGCTCACACTGATTCTCAGTTTTCAAGCAGATGGTTTTTCTATTGGAATGCAAGAGAAAATACAAAAAGAAGTGATGAACCACAGGCATTAGTCTGAGCCAGAACCACCATTGCTTTATTTCCTTATCAGAAAATTTCCTGGGAGGGTGACTTCCCTCCCTGAAATGTTCCGAGGGACTCACGGAGACTCTTTGTCTTCCTGCCAGATCTGTGTGGTCATCGCTGCCGTGTTCGGGATCGTCATTTACCGGGTGGTGACCGTCAGCACTTTCGCAGCCTTCAAGTGGGCGCTCATCAGGAATAACTCTCAGGTTGCAACCACAGGGACTGCCGTGTGCATCAACTTTTGTATCATTATGTTGCTGAACGTGGTAAGTGGTGTGAACAGACAAAGCTGCAGCAGCCTCGTTTGGCTTTATTTGTGATGCCAGTTCCAGCAGCTGTTAAGATCACGATTGGTTCGCAGTGCTCCACTCCACCATATGGGCAGATAAAAATACAGCCAGAGACAAAGGAAGTGACTCAAATGAGGGTCAGGGACAGTGTCTGTCTGATTTGAACTTAAGTGTGAAGAGTTGAGTGCTTGGGTTCACTGAGACTCAGCGATTGGACCCAAGAGTGAGAGCCTGTTCACACATCAACTTAGGTTATGGTCCATGAGAAACCTTTCGGGCAAACTTCAACTGTGTACAGAGGCATCTTTAGGCAAAACAATTCAGCTGATTCAAATCCAGCCTGCAGGGTTTACTGTAGTATATGATCAGGCAAATCATTGCAATTTATTTATCCAAGAAGATGTTTTACATCCCTTGGGAAAATTTACATGGGCTGGGAGGGAAACAGATTTAGAAGACCCAACTCTGCTTGTGATGTAGCTCAACAATGCTGGTCCCTGTTTCCTTTCGATTCTGGATGGTAGGAAGATAGTCAGCATCCAGAGCACCCTTAACAAGACCCTGCCAGGGAAAGACCACAGTGGCACATGTCACTCAAGTTGGTTTCAGATGTTTTAGTGTTGTATATTTTATCCAAATCGCTCCTCCAAGCCCCAGACTTACAAGTTATCTTCCCCCTCGATTGTCCCAATACTTTCCAGTCCGAACTCCCAGCATTCCCTGTAAAAATCGGCTCCTGCCTCGGCCTCCATGATTTTAGTTGACAAGCCCAAACCCTCATCATTCTCCTTGACTCTCCCAGCTCTCTCACTGCCAGTCTGTACCCAGAATGCATCATGTTCCACACTGCCCAGTTGCCAGCCTGCTCCAACTCTCCAGTGTCTCCTCTCTGGGTTTCTGCAGAGGCTTCCTAACTGGTCTCAGCTTCTGACCTTGGCTCCTTTCCCCTCTGGTTAGGCCATGTAGCAGCCAAGGCAAGCTTCGTACATGGCTTAGGTCAAGTTGTTCTGTTCTCAAGCTCCAAGGCTTCCCTCTCCCCAAGAGCAAATTCTCATGTCTTTGTCATGGCTGTTCAGCCTCTTGCTCATCTGGTTCTGGTTGTGTCTCTGACTTTATCTCTGATGCACCTGCCCGAATCACAACTGCCCTTGACAAGGACCAAACTTGTTCTTACGCCAGGACGTTTTACTTGTTCTTCTCACTGACTGGAACTGTCTTCTTTGTGCAGTCTATATGCTTATTCCCTTTCCTCTTTCAGATCCTTTTTCAAATATTGTTTCTCTGATAAAGGCTTTTCTTGTCGCTCAATGAAACACTGCATTCTTGGGGCCAGCGTGATGGCTCAATGGCTAAATCTTCACTTTGCAAGCATGTGGATGCTGGTTTGTGTCCCAGCTGCTCCATTTTCCAATCCAGCTCCCTGCTTGTGGCCTGGGAAAGCAGTAGAGGATGGCCCAAAGCCTTGGGACCCTGCACCTGCACAGGAGGCCTGGAAGAAGCGTCCAGTTCCTAGCTTCAAATTAGCTGACCTCTAGCTGCTGCGGCAATTTGAGGAATGAACCAACAGATGGAAGATCTTTCTCTCCACTTCTGCTTCTCTCTGTAAATATGCCTTTCAAATGAAAATAAATAAATCTTTTTAAACATAGCACAAAGCTATACTCCTACCATCTGATTACTTTCTACTTCCTAGCCTGACTTATTTCTCTATGTTCATCATATATGTTTCTGTATAGCCTATCTAGTATGCCTTCTATTTTTCCTAGGTATTTACTTACTACAAGTCTTCTTCATTGGAGTGTAGGTTCGCGAGTATAGAATCTTTTCTGTTTGGGTTTGTTTGTTTTGATTTGGTTTGCATTGCCAGGGACATTTTTCTTACTTGGTTTTCATTTGAGAGGCAGAGTGCAAAACAAAGATCTCTCATCTGTTGATGAACTCCCTGCCTAGCTGACCAACGCTGAACCAGACTGAAACTGGGAGCTAGGAATTCAATCCAAGTTTCCAATGTGGATGTGACTACTTTAGTCATCACTGCTGACTCCCAAGGTGCACTTTAGCAGGAAACTGGATTTGAGATTTATTCATTTACTTGAAAGATTCATTCACTTAACTGAAAGAGGTAGGCAAATATATATAGTTGCTGACATTGAAAGCACCTACTGTGTGCTGGAAGCTTCACTGCTAGGAATTTTTATATTTTATTCAGTGAGGAGTTTCAGAGTAGCCAAAATAGGTCATAGAGAGCCCTTACATTGCTATGAACAATGATTATAATAATACCCATTATTCTTAGGAGTATCCTTAGGGTTTGTTTTCCTTTATCAACAGCATGAATAGCTGTGTTGTTTTAATGTCCTACACAGCATCAGACTAGAATAGCATAAGGTTATTAAAGCAAGAATCCTGATGATTTCAGGAAATGACAAGTGCTCCCTGTTTGAGGCCTGGGAAAGCAGCAGAAGATGGCTCAAGTCCTTGGGCTTCTGCACCGATATAGAGACCCAGGAGAAGCTCCTAGCTCCCAGCTTTGGACAAGCACAACTCTGGTCTTGAGGCCATTTGGAGAGTTAACGAGCAGATAGATCTCTTACTCTCTCTCTGCTTTCTGTAACTCTGACCTTCATGTAAAATAAATGAATCTTAAAAGAGAGAAGAAATGAAAATTATATCAATCTTTTTTAGCATTGGAATCTATTAGTTTTAGTGTTAAAAAATGCAAACTTTGACTGTAAAACCTTATTGCACATTAACATTGCCAACTGTGTAGCATAATATAGAACATGACCATTGATAGAAGTTTGGAATCATACAGTTGGAGTATTTTGCCTGTTTCCATTGTCAGCAGAAATCTCAGATAAGAGAATTCAAATTTAAGAAAGAATACTTGGGATCAGTGGAGCCAATACTCGTTCCATCCACATATGAGGAACATGATGGTCTCAGAAAGGGATGAGATCACTTGCCCAAATCCAAAAGTTGCCTGGATGGTAAATGCGTAATTCCAGCTGGAGAAATTTAACCAGCATGTTTTAGCTATGTTACATTTAAAATGGGATATCATTAGCATTTTGTGCAAATCCATAGACCAGTTTTCTTTTCAATTATCGTCTTTCATTTTAGGGAATAGTTGCTTTTCCTCTCAATTTATATTCTGTTTGTGAGATCTCCTATACCTGGCATTTTCCCTAAACTATATCCTGTATACATCTGTGTACACACACACACACACACACACACACACACACACACAATTACTTTCTAAAACCATCTATTTACCAGAGGCTGGGGAACCTAAGGATACAGCCAATATATTATAGAAAAGCAGAGTATTCATAAACGGTAATGTTTGATCATTTCATCATTTCTACATGCTCTTAGAAGCTACAGCAATCCATAAATAATAGGATTACTATATAAATAATAATATCTTATCATCAGGAGGGGCCCTAGAGACTTTACATGTAGATTACCAGGACTTGGAAATATCATTTCTGCCCACCCCAACCTAAAAATCTGGGAATTCGTGGAAGCAGCCTTGTTGCCATGGAATGATTCTTTCTAACATACGAAGGGAGATTCAGACAATCATAAAGCAGATCTTGTCCATGACTCCCTGGCCCTGAGAGGAAGCAGTTCTCCACAGTGTCCCCATCCTGTGAGCAATGCATAATGACATTATTTCCAGTCATGAATTGATCAGCGATTTTATTTAAAATCACAGATTTCACAGCATCTAAATTGACTTGTTGAATGTATGAAATTTCTTTTATAGCTCTATGAAAAAGTTGCACTGCTTCTGACAAATTTAGGTAAGTGGAACCCTTTTAATTTCATGGTGCAATATTGTGGCCAGGAAAGCAGATTATCAGATTCCTTTTACAAATACCAGTGGAAATAAGTTATTTTTATTTGAATACAGTGTGGATTATCTTTCCCATGATGGAATATTTTAAATATATTCTAGTAATAAAAGAATCTCTGCTACCTAAAGCTTTAACTTAGCATAACCATTACGTATAAAGAACTGATGTAAGTAGATTTCCTTACTATGTAATAAAAATATCATCACAGAAGAATATGTAGGATGCATCCAGTATAATTTAGGAAATTGTATAATTATTGTTACCTACAATTTTAATTAAAAAGTTAAGAAGTTTTTATGAACTGTAAGATCAGAGCGAAGTTACCTGCTTTGAAGTCCGGAAGTATTCTAACCAGAAATGTAGGCTTGTGAATGATCCCTGACATTTGTAGAAATACTTTTTCTCTGGGCAAGTCACCTCTGACCCATAAAGAATCACAGCAATTTAGTATCAGGCCATAAACTGTACATTTACCACTTTTTCAAAATACAGAAATAGTCCAAATTTTAATAATGAGCCATTGGACCTTGTGCTCTATGAAGTCTGAGAAAATTACACGTTCCCCACAGACAGTTTGCTTTAATGCATGCCCAAATGTGACTTTCTGGAGGAAGAGAAAAGCATAAAAGCACTTTTATTTATAATAATTATTACAATAAGAGACCATCTATGGACCCTTCCTGTGTGCTAGCAACAGAGCAAGGTATGCCACATTATCTCTCCTCCAATGTCACTGAAAATTTCCATCACCACCACCTTTCAACCCACAAACACAACCAGGTTTATGTTATGGAAGAGGTAATGTCCCAATAGTAGTTTATGTCCGGTGACACCTTGATCCAAACTGGTTGAGAAGCCAATTGGAAAAACAGCCTGGGTCCACCCAAGGTTGAAGCACCTGGTTACCTGGCTGCCTGACAACCCAGGAAACCTTACCATGTAACCAGAAGTTCAGTATCAAAGGTCAGTAAAGCTAAGACCGTTTAAAAATTCTTCATCTTCCTTACTCTCAGTAACAGGTCAGCATTGTTCTGAAATGGACATTGAAACCATTTAAGTCAGGCTCTCTTCCTTTTTGTCTTCTTTTTCCCTTCCAGACTGACTCCCAGGAAACATTTTGAGTTTTATAGCTCATGGGGAAGAGATGAACTAATGTTAAACAATTCGGGGAGTGTGGGAACAGAAAGTACTATGTCATTAAGTGTATTTTCTCTGACATTGCTAAAAGCGAAATGCAGCTCCCAGGAGAGGTCAGGTGCCTTGGACATGAGATTCAGGTTGAAGTTTCACTTTGAGGGCAAAGAGATCCATCTTTTGATTCATATCACAGTGTCCAGGAAGTAGGTGAGAACTGGTGCATGACTCAAGTCAGGAAATTGTTGGACACAGGTGGTGATGTGCAGTGAAAGCCCTGGGATGGGGTGCTCACCTTGGGGTCTGCCTGTGAGAGTGAATAGTGAATGAAGCTGAAAGTACAGGAGTCAAGTGCATGCTCTCAGCATCCTGGAGGAGTAGCTTGCCTCCCTCTCTTGAAGTGGCCTGGGATACACTCCGCAGCTAGACATTGACACCAAAGAATTCATAGGATCTGGGAGATGACCTGTCTCTGCCCAGTCCCAAGTGCATGAGTGGTCATGAAGAGGAAGAGATAAAGCTAGGCAGAGAGTGGACCTGAGGTCCTTTTAGGCTGGCTGTGTGTGTCCTGGCTCTCTGGCATCCTGGAGCACCCTAGAGATGGTGTTCCCACGGATGTGTCAATCACCACTCCCTACCTAGCTCTTTGGGAGGCTGATCTCTGAGCTCCAGGATCCTCTGGATGGCCCAGATCTTCTTTCTCCACCTGTGAGTGAATCAGAGACCCCCGTGGGCCCCCTGCCTTCTGAGATCCCTTTGCCGCAGGCTCTGTGTGTGAGGAGAGAGTGGGAAAGGGGAAGACCTGGCGCTCAGACTCTACTCTATTTTGTCCACAGAACAGCCTCGCACAGAGTCCGAGTGGGAGAACAGCTTCACCCTGAAAATGTTTCTTTTTCAGTTCGTCAATCTGAACAGCTCCACGTTTTACATCGCGTTCTTCCTTGGAAGGTAGGAGCAGGAGCCCTGCATGCCTCCCCAGGCCAGGCTGCTGGGGACAGGGTGCTCAGAGGTCACTGTCTAGGTCTGGTAAGGAAGGCCCTCCTTTAGGGTGATTCATCCATGGGGTGAGAAGAGAAGGACAGTTGTTCTTTCTCTTCCCAAATTCAAGACCCTTTCACACCCAGGGCAACTGTAGGAAGCCTTCTGCACTCACTGTGCTTTTCATTGCTAAAATACACGGAGGAATGTGGTTCACCCGTGGAGGTGGCAAAAGGAAAACGTCTGTTTGCTGAATCCCATGTCCACGTGAACCGATCACTAAAGGAGCAGTAAGCTGCTGCACATCCTAAATCCTTGACATCATGAGAGACGGGACACCTGTCATGAAAGCGAGTGGAAATGGGATGCCAGAGCACAGATGGTGACTTCAAACTCCAGCTTGAGAATTTGGGAAGGATTCACAGTCATGGCCTACTTAGCTTGGTTACATCTCTAAGCATTTCTGAGCTGAGCAATGAATGGAAGGGCCAGCCATGCAGTTTGAGTGAGGGAGGTGTAACTGCTGGTTTTTGTTTTCTGCTATGCCAGCAGCACAGAATTACTGTCAGCTTTTTAAAAAATAATGGCTATTATACATTGTGTTTAAATGTGACCAAATGTGTTTAAATCCAAGAACAAAACTGATGCTTTGACAGGCCAAAGCTCTTGATATTCAGCAGAAAAGTGTTAAAAGTCACAGCAGGTAGCAAGAACTGGCCCCTATGTGAGCTCAGCAACTGGACAAAAAGGTCAGAAGAGAAATATCCTCTGGAGAATCCCAAAAGCCGTAGTTATGGCAACTGTCAGAATTTCCCAGTGCCCTCAGACTTGAGATCTCCTGTGGCAGTAATTCACATTGGAGGATGTGCTAAGCTGAATAGTCAGTGAACACTTTGATCTAGAGGATGCTAATGGCTTGTTTTTCTGTGTGTTGAAGATTCACAGGACACCCAGGTGCCTACTTGAGGCTGATAAACAGGTGGAGACTGGAAGAGGTCTGTATTTCTCCTTCGTGCCTTGTTTCTACTTGAAATCTGGCATTGAACTATCATGGGGCAACTTTGTGCAGATTAGAAAGCAGACACCCTTTCTTCCTCTCCATTGATTCTTGAATTTCTGTGTTTGCTTACCTTGCAGTGCCACCCTAGTGGATGCCTTATTGATCTCTGTATGCAAATGGGTATTATAATGGTGCTAAAGCAGACCTGGAATAATTTCATGGAACTTGGCTACCCGTAAGTACCTTAGCTGTCGGTCATGGAGAGACAAGCGGCACCGCTCATGATTGGCTTTTCTGGGTGTGGCAAGTAAGATAAGCAAAGCAGACTCAACGAGGGAGCCAGGGCCTCACACTCAGGTGGTCAGAGGTAGAGAATAAACACTGGTCATTTGGGGAGATTTAGCACAAGTCCCATCAACATAAGGAGGTGTTCTCTAGGAAGTTTCCCTAGACCCCTAAATACTGAAGCTTTGCTTGCAAGTTGCTTTAAATGAAGAGCTTTGGGGCTCCAGCTTCCAAGTCCCTAGCTGTTGATGACACATTAACTAGTTCTCCATTTCTCCACCCCCTCAATAAATCAGGGGGGAAAAATTATGGAAAGGAGAGCTCAGAGAATACTGTATTTACAAGTCAGGCTATTGGAACCAACAAGATGCTATTGCCTATTCACTGACCACAAGTGGTCAAAAGCTTGCATTGCCTTTGTAAAGACAGCCTCGGATTCTGCTGCGTTTGCTCGGCTTTGGTAAGTCTCGGAAAGACGTGACTCGGCAGTGCTTGCATTTCTGCCTTAATTCCACACCTCTTGGTTCCTGTGTCAGCTTGGTGTCTCTGTAGAGATCTCTAGATTTCAGAAAGGCTCACTCAGCTAGATCAATGTGCTGGACCAGAGTTCACTTGAGAAAATCTGGTCCTAGCTCACTGCCAGTGACTTTCTAGTCTTAGATTGATTTTTAGAAATCTCATTCTAAGATTTGGATGTTTTCTGTAAACCTTTTTCAAAAACATGAAACAAGAAATTTAGAAAAATTCTATTCTATGTTAAACCTTAATGAATCAAAATGTCATAGCCATGAAGAGGACTTTAGCTTCGAGTTACCTGGACATAGAGTTAAACTGCAAAGGAGGAGAGTTTGCCTTTGGTACTAATCCCTTCATTTTCTTTACTTAGATCTTTTTGTTTTTGATACTTATACTCAGAAACAACCCCTTAAGTTTTTCCTGGTCCCTTTCAGTTTTGGCATTCTTTTCCCATATGGTAAAATGCATCGCTGCATACTACTGTGGATTAAGGGACAATGTCACTAGTAAGATGCGTCTTCCTGGCTTTCAGAGTCCATGTTAAGCTCAAGCCCAAAGTAGGCAAGTCCAGTTGTAGAAACATAGACATCTGCATTTCAAGAGAGCAAGCACTTGTGTGGGTTTGCAGATGATCTCAGCCTCTGAAGTGTGTGTATAAGACTGCACATGGATCCTGAAGTAAAACATTTCAGACAAGCCTTGCTGTCATTGGATATCTGTGCATTGCCTTTATATTGGGAAAATTGCTTATAGATATGCAGGGTTTTTCTGTAAGGTCCTCATAGGCCACACTGAACCTGTGGCAATTTCATGAATGATTAAAATGAGTAGATCAATTGTTCTTTTTACTTGTAAGTAGATACTCTTGAAGCATACATTCCATTGATATTTCTTCCTACTTCAAGACATAATTTCCTGGCTAAAGTGCCTTGGATTTTTTTAAACTGTTGTTCTCTATTACTTGATTGTAAGAATCTGATCTTGTTGCACAGGTTAATTCAGAATTGGTGGACTAGAAGGAAAGTGCGACAAGAACACGGACCAGAGAGGAAAATAAATTTCCCACAATGGGAAAAGGACTACAACCTTCAGCCGATGAATGCCTATGGACTCTTCGATGAATACTTAGAAATGAGTATGGAAATTTTACAATTAATGTCATAATAACTATAAATGCAAATTTTAGTTACTTTGTGAGATGCAACTCAACATATACCCGTTACCATGGGGTCCATCCATTTGTGGAGAGTCCTGAGCTCAGTGCTGAGGACCCAGCATCCTGTTTAAGAAGCTCAGTATTTACATGTAGTGCCACAAGCCTAGTCACTTTTAACTCTGCCTGACAGTGTGTCATGTGCCTTATAATAAATCAACAGGGAGCAAAAATGAGGTAGGAAAAGTAGTGGACAAAATGAGAAGCAGTTATGAAGCAACTGATGTGTTCATCCAGTAGACGTCCGTCCAGCCCTGTTGTGTGCTGAGCAGACTCTATGTGACACCAACACAGCATGAGGCACTGTGCCCAGCTTTTAAAGAGTGCACAGACTAGAAAGTGGAAACTTAAGGAGCATTACAGATGCCACAGTATGAATCAATAAGAGCTATGGTGGGTTGGTGATTTCTGTCGTAGGAGGGAAATGACAGGAAGCTGGGGTGCTTAATCCATACCACACTTACAGGTAAGTTATTATATTTCTCTAGAATCAAACCCAAGCTACTTCTGTCAACACATGACTAAGACCATGTGTTTGTTTTGAAGATGTGTTTATTTGTTTGAAAGGCAGAGTTACAGAGAGAAAGAGACACATAAGGAGAGAGAGAGCTCTCCCATCTTCTGGCTCATTTCCCAGGGGCCAATAGGGCTGGGGTAGGCCAAAGCCAGTAGTCAGGAATCTCATCCTGGTCTTGCAGCAGCCCAAATACTTGAGCCATCTTCTGCCGCTTTCCTAGGCACATTATCAGGGAGCTGGCTAAGATTGAACCATAAGATTTGAAACAGTGTTTGGCTCATAGTATGTGCTTTGCTGATATTGGCTATATTCTTATCTCCTGGGGGGAAGAGGACCTACTAGAACCCCTTAGCAGATATATTGAATTTGCTTACATTTGCTTCTTTTTTAATTGTTTGAGTTCCGTAACATAGTGTTTGAAGTAAGGGTAGGTGTGGGCAAGATGCATTGCTTTTGAAAGAAACAATGCTTTCTGAGAATCTAAAAATTAAAGGAGGAACAGAACTGATGCTGAATGTTTCTTAGATAGCTTACATCCTAAGTATCTACTGATGGTTTTTCGAGTTTCAATTATAAACTTGCAGAATGATGTAACTTGGAGAAGAAATCAATTGGAGCATTAATAATAAGGCTTAATAAAGAGAATTCATTAGGCAAACTAACACTTGGAGGACTCTTAATGGGTTCTTCTCCCATAAAAAAGGAAATGAACAATCAGGTTGGTATCTTGAGTGCTGGAAAATAAGCCTTTTTTTCTCTGTAATGGGGCTGGGGTTAACAGTGCCCCAAATACTGCAGTGTCTTTGCAGCATGAAATGAAGCTCAGGCATCTTAAGCAGATGTGTGCTTTCATCTCTGTTCTTACTATTTGGTTATTTTCGTCCTCCCCACTTTGTCACATTTTTAAGTATAATGACTGAAGTATAACATATAATGAGAAAAGTGTATTAATCGCAAGTGTTACAGAAAAAAGAAATTCCATGAATGTAAATAAGCCTACAAACAGGAGGAATTGCCAAGCTGCTCCCGCAGGCCAAATCCAGTATACTTCCTGTTTGTGTTAATAGTTTTATTAGAATGTAACTGTACCTGTTTATTATGTGGCATAAGTGACTGCTTTTGCGCTTCATCCAAAAGCACAATGGGTAGTTGTGACAGAGACTACATGTACTGCCAGACCTGCAATGTTGAGACTGGCTCTTTGTGGAAAATGTTTGCTAGCCTGCAAGCTATGTCAGGAAACAGGGCACGATAGATTCCAAGAAGTTGCCTTTGTCCCCTCTGCAATTCATAACATCTTCTAAACCCCCTTCTTGACTTCCACAGATTAATTTTGCCTTTTTGGATCTCCCTGTAAATGAAAATAAAGAACTCCTTCGCTCAATATCACCATTGCAGCATTTTTCCAAGTTGCTACTGTAAGGGAACTTCACTTCTGTTTTTGTATAGTAGTCTTAGAATGTGGATCTGAATCAAAATTATGAAACAAGAAGAATCTCTAAGTTCCACTAACCTCGTCTTTCCTTTGTCATGTGGTTTTTGCATTTCCACTTCCAGATATATTCTGATCTTTCTCTTTGCATCCCTAGCACACAGATATCCCTTATCCATCCCTCACTCACCCATACTCCTGAGCACTTTAAGGATTAATATGCTAGATAAATGTACTTGAATCTGAATATCTGAGTGCAGACATCAGTTCACCAGAGGAACCATTCTGTGAGTTCGCACATATTCTAGGCACCTGCAAGTAAAACACCTTTGCTTAGCATCCATTAGACCACCACTTGGATTGTTTGTTTCCAGGTTTGAACTCATACGAACATTGCTGTGAAAAATATGTACATGTGTTTTGATTAATATATGTACAATATTTCTCTTAAGAATTTGTGTGGGGGAAGGTGTCACTGTAAGCTAAGTCTCTGTCTGCAGTGCCAGCAGCCCGTATGGGCACTGGTTTGTGTCCCAGCTGCTCTGCCTCCAATCCAGCTCACCGCGGAAAACAATAGAAGGTGGTCCAAGTGTTTGGGCTTCTGCCACCCATATGGGAGACTCAGTTGAAACCCCTTTTTTCAAATTAGCCCAGCCATGGCCATTACAGCTATCTGGGGATAGAATCAGTAGACGCAAGATTCATTTCTCTCTCTGTAGTATTACAGTAGTACAAACCTTCAACAATGGTCACAAGTCCATCATTCTGCTATTTAAGGGTTATCATGACATTGCAGGTAATTGCACTAATTCATAAAGTGTCTAGGAATAAATACATACATTCATATAAAGCTGAATTAGAAGCAGAGTAGCCAGAACGCAACCCAGACGATGACATATAGAGGCAGGCATCCAAAACAGTAGCTTAACCCTCTGAGTTGCAAGGCCTGCCCTTGGTATCCACTTTATAGTAGGTCGTGTTATAGATATGTTTCTCAGGAAACTTGTTCAGGGCATCTGAATCCTCAAATGTAGTGTCAAAAATTATTTAATTCTACAATAATATCTCCTTTATTGGCGTCAATATATATAAAAAATATTTTGAAGATGTGATAGGCAGAAGGTTGAAGAGCCCATCTTAAAGCCTCTTACAAGGCAGAATGGAATCCCTACATGTCCTTGAGTCTCTCAGTCAGAGCCAAGGAACAAGAACAAACCAGAAGTAGACTTCATGGTGTTAACTTTGATGACTTGGTTAAGATGTAGTCTAACAACGCCACTGTACCAATACCTTTTTAACTTTATAATTAATATTGATAAATATTAAGTGAGAAGACACTGAGATATATAAATATGTTATTCTCTTCAACATACTTTCCACTACTAGTCTTAGAATTCTTTTGGGAATTCATGCCTCAATCAAATGCTAATTTCATTAAAGCTAGACCAAAAGTAGAGTAAACAGGACTATGGAACCAGAACTCTGATATATAATTCCAGCAAGTGTGTACCACATGATAGGCTCCTTATTAATATTTTTTTGCGCTAATTCTTCCAGATTTGTCCACTTGATATACGTTCCATGTCCCATTGAAATGTCTCCATCATTATTTGAGCACTTCCTTGCTTTCTGGAATAGTAAGATATTCCACATTCATCTTGTATCTTCGCTACTGCAGATCTGAACTGAAACTTCCAGCCAATGAGCCTTGGTCCCTTTTATTTGAAAATATTTTTTGGAAAACAAGATTAGGATCCCCAGCTACATTGTTCTGTCCTAAAAAGCCACTGCCTCTAGGCCCATAGTATCCTGTCCATCTTTCCTGTCTGTACTTTTACATCAGAAAAAACATAGCTTACAACAGTAATATAATCATGGCCCAGCACAGAAGCCTAGTAGCCAAAGTCCTTATCTTGAGCATGCCGCAATCTCATGTGTGTGCTGGTTTGTGTCCCAGTGGCCCTGTTTCCCATCCAGTCCCCTGCTTATGGCCTGGGAAAGCAGTCGAGGACAGCCCAAGGCCTTCACGCCCTGCACCCGTGTGGGAGACTCAGAAGAGGCTTCAGACTTCTGGCTTTGGATTGTTGCGGCTCTGGCTATTGCGGCTGCTTGGGGAGTGAATCAACAGATGGAAGCTCTTCTTCTCTGTGTCTCCTCCTCTCTGTATATCTGAATTTCCAATAAAAATAAATCTTGAAAAAAAGTAACAGTGAGATCATTATTTTTTTTTGAAAATAGTAACAGGAAACAATATGCTTTATTCTTTTTCCCTTCCCTAGTTCTTCAGTTTGGCTTCACAACTATCTTTGTGGCAGCTTTTCCCCTCGCACCACTCCTGGCCTTACTGAATAACATAATTGAAATTCGACTTGATGCTTACAAATTTGTCACACAGTGGAGGCGACCTTTAGCTTCCAGGGCCAAGGATATTGGTAAGTTGATCTAGGTGTATGTTTTTAAAAAAGATATTAACCAGCTAGTGGAGAAGATTTTTTAAAACTACCCACTTTCTACTCTTTCGTGTCAAATGAACTAATTTTTGCAAGGAATATTTATGTTGGTTTTATGATTTTGGATAAGAAACCTGGTGCTTTGAAAATATATGATTTTCAGTGCTAGACAATTTGTACTTAAATCTCTATTCTGATTCTTCTACACGAAGACTTTTGATTCTAAAAATCTGATTTATTATTAGTTACTCCCTTTTGAAGATCTTCCCTTTGCTAGCTTTTTATTGTTCTTGCCTGAATTTCTCTGGATTCAAATGAAGCGTAATCCAGTTGCTCTAAAAGCAAGAGTGAGCTTTGCTGTTTGCCTAGAGAGGCTGAGTTGAGTCACTTGCAGCCCTCCTTGAGAGCAGCCTGAGGGCAGACGCTGTCTATTCATTTCTGCATCAAGACATAGTATTGAAAAGACAAGTATTCAACCAGAATGCGGGGGAGAGAATTAAATGTGGATGTTCTTGCTCATGGTGGTCTTTTTACCTACATATGAACACACACACACAGCAAGTGCCTGCTCTGGATCAGTACACCAGGGACTGCCCATGAAGATGTCTAAACCATCAAGCACCTCGCTCTCTGTGTGTTCTGATGTTCCCACACGCTGTTTTGTGCCTGATCGTTGATGAGAATTCTCTGACTTACATCCAATTCTAGTAAGTCATGAACATCCCGGTGTTTTAAACATTCTTTAATGCCAATGCATTTGCAAGTGTAATTTCTTATTCCACATTGAGCAGTATTTGAAAGCTGAAAGGGTCGTTGAAGATGAGTTTCTCCCATTGTTTACATACTACAACTGCTATTGTATGTGAATCTAATGTCTCACTTCTGTTTGAACAGGAATTTGGTATGGAATTCTTGAAGGCATTGGAATTCTTTCAGTTATTACAAATGCATTTGTCATAGCGATAACATCTGACTTTATTCCTCGATTGGTATATGCTTATAAGTATGGACCTTGTGCAGGCCAAGGAGAAGCTGGACAAAAGTAAGTTTACTGTGAAGTAAATACAAAATTCTCGTTTCTTAGCCAATTTGGGTTGACAGAAACCTCTGAATTGGATATGTGGCAGTGGAAGGAGAGATACAATAACATTTGCAAAAAACACACATTTTGATCTAAAGGGTTGGGGAATCATGCAAGCCGGACGTTTTAGATGTACTCCAATGTGGAAGTTACTGTTAATTGTTTTCCCTACCCTCTGACCCATACTCACTATAAATTCAGAAATGTGTGGTTTGCTAATGTGTATAATAAAAACAGCACTTGGCCTAGTATATAGTTATGCTAATATGAGTTCTTAAGAGGGCAGTTATAGTTTGATGTATAATGATTCATTAAATGTATCCTGCAATTTCACATGGACAAAAGGAAACCAATAAGGTACTCCATAAATTGTTTTTTGGAGTAAGGAATTGAATGATTTTTTGACATGACCAATATCTGTAATACCCCAGGTAGGTTGAATGAATGAAGTCTTATAGTGGCTACAACTCTATGGCATTGCCTCAGTTATTCCACAAGCCAGGATATGATGTACCTGGTAAGTCTAGATAAAATTGTAGTAGGTATTCCAGCTTTCATTTCTGTGCCTTAGGAAAGGAACAAGAAGTGTTAATATACTTCTAATTTCCCCTTTGGAGGCAGGCATTTAGCACAGCAGTTAAGATGTCATATGGAGGGACCAGCATTGTGGCATTGTAAATAAAAGCCACTGCCTGCATGCTGATGTCCCATTGGGTGCTAGTGCAAGTCCTGGCTCTTCCCCGTACTTCCCTAACCAGTGACAACCTGCTTCAACTAAGAGCAAACTCTCTGGGGTTTAAGCCCCAGTTGTTACTTAAGTTATTCATCACAATTATGTTGTAATCTGTCTGGCTTGGGGATAAAGCCAAAAAATAAAGTGGGACCATTTATGTAGAATTGATATTGAGTCAAAACACTTTAGAATTTTGACAAACAGATTTAAGAGAATGTTCGCAGTGATTAAAACTTTTAACAGCCCCCTTGATTCAGTTTCACCAGGCTTTTTCTCTTTTAAGCCTTTCTTTTTTTACTCAGGATCCTTCTGCCACTTTCAATTTATAAGCCTACATTTTGTTTTCTAATCCATTAGCTATTTTTGTCTTGTTTTCAAATAGTTATATTTATGTTGCTTCTTCATGAATCTTATTTTCTGGTTCAATAGTCACTCTATTACTTGTCAGAATTTTTTCTTCTTTTTCCTATCTAGAAAAGATTGAACTCATAGAATAGCAATGTGTCAAATTTTAGAACATCATTGGCTCCAGGGGGAGTGTGTGCAGTCATAGTTAAAATCTCATTGACTACAGTTTAACCCAACTGTGTAAATGCCATTTTTTCAACTTAAACTCAACTTAAAGGAAAAAATGTTTCATCCAGACAAATCATTTTGCTTGCCTCTCTCTAGAACATCAGGCTATGTTAGTACCTGCCCCTTTTTACCATTGTTTTAGGTACGCCTGGCTTCTCTCTGAACAAAAGACTTGTTCCTAGAGTCAGGACCTTTAGATTCACATGCCCCTTATTCTTGTGACAACACATGGCAGCCTGCCTCACTTTGTCCCTGGCTGTTGATAATAGCCACCCTCAAAACACACTGTAGGAAATAGGAACTACATCTTTTACTGCTGGGAATTGCGAGCCAAGTCCTCTACTATCAAGGACTCTAATCGATTACGTTTTTAGTACCAGGACAAAGAAGACATTCATATTTTTTTTTCATTAAAACCTGAAAATGCAAAAACATGACCTGGCTTAGAGCAAAGCGCTCTACACACTGGGTGGTCAGCATTTCCATCTTTTCTCTTGGCACACTGCTTCTTCTCAACTCCAATCCAGCCAGGCTGATTCCTTGACCTCAGACTATTCCTTGTCTGTAAAATGAGGCTGTTTTCTCTTTCTAAGTGTCTTCCCTGAGTCCTTTCGTAAAGAGATCTCAGAAATCTAGGCAGGGTTTAAAGAGACAAAAACTATGAACTTAGCCTCAAGATGTGTATTATAAAATTGTCTCGTCAAGGTTGAACATGCCGATCAGGCACAGGCATTTGGCACAGTGGTTAAGATGCATCTCAGGACATCTGCATCCCATGTTGGAGTGCTTGGATGTGTGTCCTGGCTTCGCTTCTGATTCCAGACACATGCTAATACGCATCTTGAGAGAGAAGTAGAAGGTGATGGCTAAAGTACTTGATTCTCTGCTACCCACATAGGAGATCCAAATTGACTTCGCAGCTCCTGGCTTTGGTCTCTTCCAGCCCCAGTTGCTGCAGACATTTAGGAATTAAAGTGGTAGCTGAGAAAGCAGTCCATCAGTCTCTCTCTCTCACTTTCTCTCTCCCTTCCTCCTCCTCTTCCTCCCTTTCTCTGCCACAGCCGGGCTGGGACAGGCTAGAGCCAGGAGGCAGAAACTCCATCTAGGTCTCCTACATGAGTGGCAGGAACCCAAGTTCTCAGACCCCCATACACTGCCTCCCAGGCACATTAACAGGAAGCTGGTTGAGCAACATGCACAATCCAATCCCAGGCTTAACTTGCCCTGCGCAATGCCCAATCCCACAAACATCTTAACAAACAATAAATAATCTATTTGAATAAACCCCAAAAGGAATAATTAATGTACTTAAAATGAAGGATTTTCACTTTTCAGTAAATGTAGTATTCTCAAAATTCAGAGTTGCCTATAATCCAAACATCACTACCCACATACAAGACATTTTCTGAATCTCCTTTTTACATAAATGCCTTCAAAGGCTCTAATAAAACTGACTTTGTACATTTGTTTTAAAGATTTATTTATTTGTAAGGCAGGCTGACAGAGAAAAAAGAGACAGAGAGCTCTCACGTCTGCTCACCTCCCCCCCAAATTAGCCACAGTGACTAGGGCTGCGCGAGGCAGAAGCCAAGATCCTAGAACTCCATGTGAGCAACAGTGGACCAAGAACTTGGATCATGCTCCGCTGCTTTGCTAGGTTTATTAAGAGGCAGCTGGGTTGGAACTAGAGAAGCTCTAGCTCAAACCAGCATTCACATGAGATACCAACATCACAAATGACGGCTTAGTACTGACAGGAAGCCCTTCATTTGTTATCTTTTCCTTTGTACCTCTCACTTCTTTGTGATCAACAGTGTAGCCCCATCGTTTCTCTGCTTTTCTGGTGCTGGGGTAAGGTTATGGAGAACTCCAGCCAGTAAAGTGTGCACTAGGTGTGGGCTCTGCTATTGTGAATCACCACCCCCTACTGCAATAACATCAACACATAGATAAACTACAGCAAAATGTGAGAACCGTCATTTCCCTGAACTGATGACAGCCTCAGTTTGACACTGGCAGTAGGTACAATTCTACCATGGTGGAAAGAATTGGTGAAGTGCCTTAGGTCATTAAAAAGGGTCCCTCCTCCCTGATGTAGGACTGGCATGGAAAGAAGACTGACACCGTTGAAGACTGTATTTATATACTGAGTCCACATTCAGTACTTTGTACCCAGTAAGAGTAGCCATCGATAAGCAACACATTTCCAATGTGACTTTGTAAGTGGCATTGGATGAATAAGTAAAGCCAAAGTCTTGTCTGCCTTATTTGATTTATTTTGGGGGAGGGGCTGAAGATAGGGAGGGAAGTGTTGTTCATGAAACAGGTGTTTTGCTTTTTAACTTAGATTTTCTTATTGGAGCTTAGAACAGAACAACCAAGGGACAGCAGCTTTACTCTGTGTAAGCCCGAGGTCTGCTTTCTGCGATCAGGATCCAGGAAAGCTCACGCATGTTCCTCCTCAGTGCTGGAACCGGTTTTCTGCCAATTTCTCGAGCATCTTTCCCTTTCTGCTGCTAAGTTCCTGAGAAGACACTGCTAAATTTCATATTTCTCAAAGATTGGCTCCCTCTCTGTGACAGGTAAAATCATCAGGACACTAATTTGTTCTTGTGTCAAATTCTAGACAGTTCATAGATGAGGGAGCCATCATTCCAAATTACCCTTTCAAGGAGAGGTGGGGGAAAAAGGCTTGCTGCCAGTGGATTAAGGCATTTTACACACCTGCTAACCATTTGTTTCACCCACGAGTGACTTGACAAATGGGGCCTTCAGCTAAGTTCATTTTTTTAAGGCCATGATAAGGCCAGTAATTTGTCTTGAGGGAGACAACATGAAAACCTATGTTCTCTCAGACTTATGTTCTTGTCATCGTTTGGCGTAGTACTCAGCTGCTTGACATAATCACATCAGGCATGTTAACGAAGAGAATCTAAAGACCATAAATTATCCATTCAATCAATAATTATGTATTGACCTCCTGCCGGATGCAAGAAATTAATGAGCACCCTCACCCGCATTTATTTTGCTATGTAGGTTAAACACTGTATCACATGGTTTGTATACCATTAACTTCATCCTCACAGTGACCCTGCAAAAGTAGATGCTTTTGTCACTTAGAGTTCCATTACTAGCCAAATTTTCATAGCTAGAAAGCGCCAGATCTAAGACTTGATTCCAAAATCCTGAGTTTTTAGTATTGTACTGCCTTCCCATAAACACAAAAGCCATGTCCTCTAAGAATGTAATTATCCTTGAGGAATTCAGCCAATAGCTTTATTCTTGGACCATTCTCAAAATACTGTTGAAAAAAAAAGGCATCCATAATCTAATGGTGCTGATGATGTGCAGTGTTTTAAACATTATTATTCAGTGCACAGATGTTGTCACCATTTATCATCAAAAGCCTCTTTCTCATTTCCTAAGAGTACTACTTAAGACCCTTCTTTTAGAAAGTATTGCTTCTTGAGTGAAAGTGTTGACAGACTGATAGAGTCTCTGATTCTTCATTCTTCCCTCTAATAAAATCAACTGAATGTGGTGCTCACTGGACTCCTGCTCTGCATAGGAATGGCTTAATCCTGAGACATGTGATTATACAGTCAGCTGTCATATGTGCCATCTAGTCATTGTGAACTAAATGTGGTAGCACAGTCAGGAGGAAGGGAGCGAGTCTTTCTGCCTGGGAAAGTTAGGAGGCCTTCTCAAAAAAAAAAAAAAAAAAAAAGAGACCGTTTCTGTTTCTGTTGGCCACTGAAAGTACCAGAAAAGAAGAGATACAGAAATCTAACCAAAAGACAATTTGAGCAAAGACATGAAAATAGAGGATGAATTCCCAGACTAGTGTGGAACACGAATGTAGAATAGTACACAAGTTGAAAAGAGGGCATCATATTTAGATCAGTAGCATTCAGGGTATTTTGAGAACAGCAGTGATAAAATGCATACTTATGTGTATCATCAGTGAAACAAGCTGTGACTTAACATAAGCGGTCTTCACACGCTGGAAGGAAAGGTCAATTATGAAAAAGCTATGGGGAGGGAGTGTTGTGGTTAAACCACTGATGAAGATGTCTACAACCCACATCCAAGTGCCTGGGATCAAGTCCTGCCTCTGTTTCCAGTTCCAGCTGCTTGCTAATGAGCCTGGGAGGTGCATATACTTACTTCTTGTGCTCTAATGGTAGAGCGAGACCGAGTTCCTGGATCCTGGCTTTGGTCTGACCTAACCCTAAGCCAAGCCCTGGCTCATGTGAGCAACGGGGAGTGAACCAAAAGATAAGCGATCTCTCTCTCCTCCCCAGATAAATTAATTAATGCAAATACGTCTATAACCAGGAATGATTCATCAGAAATATTGTGTGTTTTCAATTCTATCTTGATCTTTTTAAAGCATGCTTGTGTAATTTACGCCCATAGGTAATGCTGGCTTTTGCTCACTTTACTGAGCATATCACTAGGATAGTGATGTTCTGGATGATGAGTCTGTATAGTAAAGTGCTGTAACAAAACAAATGACTTGTGTCTTATTGAGCTGTTCAGGGCTTTTCAGCCTATCCCAACTTAAGGTTTTATGAAAAGTAAGGACACTGCAGGGACTTCTAAGACACTGGGCCCTTACTGAATTGCATAGAGACAAGGTAATCTGTGCCCTAATCTCAGGATTTATTTTACAGGTGCATGGTTGGTTATGTGAACGCCAGCTTGTCTGTGTTTCGAATTTCTGACTTTGAGAACCGATCTGAGCCTGAATCCGATGGCAGTGAGTTTTCGGGGACGCCTCTCAAATACTGCAGGTGCGCATGGCACTCTTGGCATGGTTCTGCCTGAGCTGAACCAGCTCTGCCTAAGTGAGGCAGATACTCTCATGAGGGGGTTTGCTTCGAAGCCCATTCTATCTAGTGCGTTGAAAGAATAGACAGAGGCCATCACAGTGCATTAAAATCATCTGGGACGTTTTAAAACCTTTTCTTACCTGACCAATGAAAACAGAATGTCAGAGAGTGCCATTCAGATACCGTCAGCACAATTAAGGAATCCCAAGTGCCATTAGAGTTGAGAACCAAAAGCTTAAAGAGAAAACCTAAAAATATTAATACATGACCAAAAGGTTATAATCCTGCCCCCGGGGACTGTAGTGGAGCTAGTTGTTGAGGGCATGAGTCTTTGTTCTGCTTCTCTCTCTTGCCCATACTATACAAAATTGTGTTTTCAGATGTTCTGCAATTTAGTTGTAGGAGCAGTCTTGTTTGTTCCTGGCTAGACTCTGTGACACATGCTGTCTCTCTTTATCTTTCCTTTTAAGAGGAAATTACTGAACTGTGTTCCCTCACGTGTATCTATATAATAATCAGAAAGGAGAATTTATTGAGCATCTACTCTGTACCAGGGACTGTTCCTTCCTTGGATAGTCATATCAACCTTCTTAACACTCAGTGATGTTATGTGTATACAACTGTTGAAACATAGCACAAGTCATACCTTTTCCATGAACACTTTATGTGCTGTTGGAAGAATTTGATATTTCTCACTCTGTTAGACAGTCATCAAGTCCTAAACCCTTTGACAGAGGGACTTTTGTCATTATCCACTTCAACCCTGCTTTTTACAGAGACAGGATCTGAGGGCCAGAGATGCTGACTCATTAGTTAAACAGACCTGGCAAAACTGTTTTCAGAATTCAGGGATCCCAGCTCTTATCACAGTATTCTTTCGAGTAGCTCTGTGAGAGCAGGTGCTGCAGGGATGTGGTTGCAGTGCTGTCTCCCATGCAACACTGGCCTGGAAGGAGCTCTTTGGGCAAAGTCACAGCAGTCAAACCCCCAACCTAGTTCTTTGTGGTATTAATAAATACTGCCTGTTGACACTGATTCTCAACTTTCTGTGAACCCAAACCACATAATTCTTCCAAGTTAACCACTTAACAATTTATTGCAAAATAGTGTATTTGCTTTACACATTCGCTTGCTCACCTCTAGATGGAGTTTTCCTTGATTTGCCCGCTTAGTTCCATTCTAGGCAGCTAGATCCTAGAGAACAGATTCTGACTCGACCTGCTGTAACGACTGACACTCTCTCTGTGCTTCCCACATAAACAACAGTCAGAAACTCGCAGTGATCCTGAGCTGACTCCAAGAAAACAAGACACGAGCTAAGCAATTCCCATTTAAACACAGGATACCCTGCACTCTTTAAACCAAGTTCCCAAGGTCTCACTGGCTGTCAGGGTTCACCAGATGGCTACAATCCTTCTATTACATGCAGGCACAAGGAGAGTGACTGGAAAGTTATCCAGTACTGCCCCCTGTTGGGCTGCTAGGGGAGTAAACCACCAACCAACAAGGATGGATGCCTTTTTCCATTTCCTGTTCAGATCATTTCCTCCATGAAATTACCTGCCAAACACTTTTAGAGACAAATAGGATTCCAAGTATAAAATAGCTCAAAGTAAAATGTCAAATCTAACTTCAATTAAAAATCTTTTAGTTGTTAAAAATAACAAACTCCAAATTCTTTCTTCTGCTTATTCACTCACTAGTATCCCTGTGTCCCTCATAAAGCACATTTCGAAAGTTACTAATGTGAATGGAGTTGTTGATACTGTCATCATTAACTTATGACCGTTTGACATTTTCTTAAAAGTTCCCTAAAGAAGAGATCTTTAAAATAACAATTAAATAAGGCTAAATATTTTCATGTTTATTTAACAATTAAATCTTAGAATTAATACAATTAAATTTTAGTATATACACATGTATTAGACTTCTGTTTCCAGTTTATCAGGTAGAGCGCCTGGATCAGGCCCATGCTAAAAACATCCAAACATCTGGATCAGATCTTAAAAGCACTTCAATGCATCAAAGAGCTAGGGGTGGGGAATTTGGCATTCTGTTACCTCCTACTTCATTTTCCTAACTTTTGATAAGGTAGAAAATCATCCAGTTGGTATTTCTGTAGGAGTACGGTAGCCACGGATCCCTCTTCTGCTGTTGCACACCATCCATTCTCAAAAAAAAAAAAAATTGCATTCCTCAAGCCGGACTAAATGAACCTCTGGTGGCACACAGAGCTTTCCAGCCAACTTTTACACAGTGGGCATCTGCAGAACCAGGTGACCTCTGGCTTTATTTTTCATGGCCTCTCATGGTTCAGAAAGTAAAGGAAAATACAGAAGTGACCTCGTGTGAGTCAGTCAGACATATACTACATAAAAACAACTGTGATATATTTACCCTGGGTCTTTTGTACAGCAGTGAAAATAAGTTCGTGCTATAGTCTGGTGAATTTTAGTAACATAATAGTGAAAAATTGCCCCAGAAAACTATATATGATATAAGCATTCATGAAGTTCGAAACAAAAAGACAGTGTAATATTCAGATAATTGTGTGTGTGTGTAATAATAAAAATGAAATGCATTGGAGGAGTCAGCACTTGCATAGATCTAATTTCCTTGTAACGTCTTAGTTCCTGAGCATCATGCTAGAATTATGACAGTGCAACATCTCATAAAATTATTAAACAAATATAAAAGTTTGTAATGAGGAGATGATCATGAATGGTCCAGTATGATTAGCCATAAAAAAATGAAGAATTTTGACTACGTCGATTCTGAGCACCTGAGGTCCAAAATAATGTTATATGAGAAGGAAAAGGAAGAATAATAACCAAGTCTGTTGTGAAGACTGCACGGGTACTTACATTAAGACACAGTATAAAAGTATAACTAATTAGTGTGTGATTGTTACAGGAACTGATCCATTGAAAATGTGACAGAATTGGGAACTTAAAAGTATATTGCGTAAAGACTAAAGATGCAATCACAGGAAAATACATACAATATGATTCTATTTATTTAGAGTTTAATGCAGAAAAGCTCAGAATTGCCTTAAAGGAAAACAAGAGCATAGTTGCCACAAAAATTAGAAGAGCAGTTACCTCTCAGGGTAGCTCAAAGTGCCAGCAAAGCCTGTAAAGTCATTAACCATATGCTGTATCTTAGCTTGTATGAGAGCTAGATGAGGTTCATTTATTCTTGCAAATGTACATATATATTTATTTTCACTGCTTAAAAATGAGAATAAATTAACTGAACATGCTGGGAAAATACTGTGTTCAGGCCAGCCATCTATTCCTTGTGACCAAAAGCAGCTTAAAGAATGCACTAACCTAAGCCAAAAAAAACAGCAGGTAAGTTGGAAACCAAGAAATTAGATATCACCTGCTGAGAAATTAAATGTCATCTTTTGAAACCAAATCTGATACACTTAAAAAAATTTCCTCCACGCGTTAGTGCCACCGGACTTAATGTCTTTGAAGGTACTGGACTAAAAGATCAGAGCACGAAAGTTTTGATTTTATTAGCTTCGAAACTTGGCTTTGTGGCTGCTTCTACAGTAACAGAGGGATGGCTTGTATCCTTTGCACAAGTGTCAGAGAGCATGCAGTCAGTCCTTTCGCAAAGAAATGGCAGCACATCAAAACCAGGGAAGCAAGGCACAGGTGACAGCTGAGCCTGGTCCTCTTCCAAACGTTGGCCTAATGGAAAAGATGCAGGCACCAGGGGTATACTGGAACACAAACTAATAGCTTCTGCCACAGTCATCTGCAAACTCACAGGAGAAAAGGATGACAGCATAGAATTACAGAGAAGGGGGACAGAGAACACCTAAATCTGATATGGAGAACAGGTGTCTAGGAAAGAAGTCCCAGCTTTAGTGACTGTTGCATACGAAGTTCAAGGAGACAACAAAGACAGCTCTTGATATAATTCTGAGTCTTTCCTCTAATAAATACACTTTTGTGTAATAATCAACTATATTAACAATAAAAAGGATTCTGCTGCTTTTCTTTGAGAATATCTGGACTGTACAGACTTCAAAAATGCTTGTAGAAAATGCATGTTGTGAAAAAAAAACTAAGGATTTCAATTTTTTTACATTGGGGTAGTCTTATATTTTAATTCCATTTTTCATGAGATTTTTCAGGTACTGTTGCTTTTGCAATAAAAGCAACTAACATTAAACAAAGGAATACATTTGTTATATTGATTACAGGGACACAATTCCCAATTCTTAACTAGCTGCATGTTTTGCAAAAAGAAAATGAGGTTACCACAAGCATTCAGTCTTGAATAAAAATTGTTCTTACAATTCCACACTGTTACTGGACCTAGAAGAGAAATTTGTTCTATAAAGAACACTAGAAAGAAGAATGTCCTGGACAGTTAATTTATCCTCACCAGCATAGAAAGAACCAACAGTTCGAAAATAGTTTGTCTTAATTTTAACACCACGTACTCATAAACATCACTTCAGTGACAAAATAATCATGATATATTACTGCCCCAAACTCATAGGTACTACTAATAATTAAGGTGATGATTATGATGGTGATGATGATAATGACGACAGCTTGTGTTTTTGTAGTCCTTGATGCATTTCAAAGACACCCAGCACAGGACATTCTCATGTATCCTCAAGTAAACATCAGTGCTGACCTTGAGGCTAAGTACTATCTGCACAGCAAAGAAATAACCAGCAGTTGTAGATCAATCCACAGTCCTGGAGCCCTGAGTTTAAAACACACAAAAACATAATGTCTCTGAGCAAGTCACTTTTCCGTTTTCCCACCTAGGATAATAGTAGTGGTAATGATAAGATGAAGTGGGGTTGTGTGGGAAAAGCTTAGCAGAACAAAGCCTTCCACTGCCAGGTGCTCAAAAACATCCGCAGCGTTTACTGGTGACTCCAACGTTGCAGGTGGAGGACACATTAGAAAAGACATTGTAGTAGAAAGTGGCAGAGATCCAGTGTAAAAGAGACATGGAGTAAAAGATGATGTAAAAGATGACATGGAGAGCAAAGGAGTGATCCAAACTTTAGTGCGAACTCAATCCCAAACTTCCAGCAGCCTCAGCCAGATACGTCCTCTCTGCCAACTCTGCTTCTGTGATGTCATTCTCAAACACAATCTCTCTCCAATACTCTTGGGGATGGTCACCCAAACCCCAGGCTTTTTTACCTTCTGTGTGCTTGGTAATCCACGCTAGTAGAGTCTCGCTGACCAAGTCTGGCTCACCAGAGGAGAAGAGCCCTATCCTACTGGATGATTCCTCAGCTTCTCATAAAAGGTATTCCTTTACCAGAAGAAATAATGGTGGCCAAGCAAAACAACAGATACCTAGCATACAGAAATTTTCAAACTTCTTTTCTTCCCCGTGAGTGAGGAACTATAGAGTAGACATGGGAGAGGTTTGTGAAGAGGATACAGTGTCTTCCCATGTCTTTACAGATACCGGGACTACCGGGACCCACCTCATTCACTGGTACCCTACGGCTATACGCTACAGTTTTGGCACGTGCTGGCAGCTCGCCTGGCTTTCATCATCGTGTTTGAGGTATGTGTTCCTCAATCCAATCCTTTACTTTCTTTGACATGATAAAGTCGGTAAGAGTAATAAACAAACATTACGTCATAAGGAATTTGATTGTCTACTTCCAGAAAAGGGTATTTTCTTTGGTTCAATGTATTAACTTCTCAAAAGATATTTAGAAGTGTGTCATTGCTTGTTAATGGACAAGTCAAGACTCCTCGGTCTTAGCTTTAATATTCTATAGCCGTAATTGTTAAACTTTAGGGGAAAATGTGATTTTTCTATCCGCATTCTCAGCAATTCTGATACATGACTCTGCAATTTGCTTTTTATACAAACCTTCTAAGGTGATTCTGATGCAGGTGTTATAAGGAGCAAACTTTGGAAAGCATTGAGTATACAAGTGTGACTCCAGCTATGTGTCATCATAATATAAGTAATGTGGCATTATTTCTATTCGGCACATACGTGGAAAGCACATTGTCTTAAGTTCTCTAAGATATTCCTTATCTAATACTCAAAACAGGCATATAAAGTAAAATCTGACAATCAGATACATTTTATATCATATCTATTACACTTTCCTGAAAGAGAAAAGAAAAATTCTTCCTAGAAGGATCAGTTCCCTGGGCCCTCTGATTATTCCTAGTAAAGCATTTTTGCTGTCTACAAAACTTGCAAACTTTTTAAAATAATTCTCAAAATAGTTCCCGTGATGTAGTTGAGGAAGCTGAGGCTGAGAGGTTCCACAGGCACTATTGCCTTTTCTGATTTCCTTGTCGGAATCTTTGCCTCTTCTTTGAGTTCTCTGACCATTCTGTTCCTGCTTTCTTTCTTGATTCCTTGTCCTGTTCTCTACGTAGAACCATCAGACCAAGTGCAGTCCTCATCTAATCTTTGACCGCCTGTCATTTTACATGCTTCTCCTAGTCTCCCCTTTCCAGCAGCACTTGGAAGTTCTAGGTCCTCCTCGAACCAACTTAGAAATCTCAGTCAAAGGAGCAACAACAGATCTGATTGTTCTTCTCTGTTGCTTTCAGCACCTCGTATTTTGTATAAAGCACCTCATTTCATATCTGATCCCAGACCTTCCAAAAGACCTAAGGGATCGTATGAGAAGAGAGAAGTACTTGATTCAGGAGATGATGTATGAAGCAGAACTGGAACGTCTCCAAAAGGAACGAAAGGAGAGGAAGAAAAATGGGAAAGCACACCACAATGAGTGGCCATGATGGGGGAGGTGAGAAGCATGCTCGTGGCTTGAAACCACTCCACGGGGAGAAGGGGAACGCTTTCAACCCTGTGCAGCAAAGCCTGCTATTGTGCCAACAGTAGGAATAAAAGTAAACAAATAGGGAACTTTCGAAAATCAGCTCGTTTCTTGCTTTAGTAATTAAGTGTCGGTTAGACTTTCCCCTCCTGCACACTTCCAGCAACCCAGTTGGCTTTCTCTGACAGGGCAAGCAAACTCTCAAAGTTGACCCAAGTGTTCCCCAAGGTACAATTTCCTTTCCCTTCCGTACCAACCAGGCTACACACTCCAAGGCAACACAAGCTCATCTTTCTGGTTGAAGTCAGCCTTACGTACCCCCCACCCCAAAGCGAGGCCTTCCCCCCTTCACCCATCCATCGTTCCCTGCCCAGCTCATTCACATCAGCTCTCCAAGTTCCCCAGGTTCATCAGGCTTATTCTGGTGATTGCCATTAATGTATTCAAATGTACAGCTTTGTATTTTTAATGATTTTCAAATAAGTTTCAGCCTTTCCTCCAACACAGTATCAAGCATCTTTTGGGACATTTCAATGGATTATAATTTTATTCTTCCAACTAGCTAGCACGAAGGCACATGGCTTATTTGGTTAAGAAGAGCTGGAAGGATGAAGGCTAAATACATTGTAACCCTCCCACACATCCCTTCTGAGACCTTCTCTCCAGCAAGTCAGCTATGGGCTATGGGACACAGGCCAAGTCCCATAACTTCTCCAGCCCTCATCGGCCCAGCGATACAGCCTTGAAATGAGTTCTCAGTTCTGAGAATATTACAGAGTTTCCTTTGCCTTCCTTGAATTTCAATCTGTCTTGTCTGAAACCATTTTCCAAAATTTTATCTCCCAAAGAAAAATGGAATATGCATTGGAAAAGTGTGGTTTTTAACTTTTCCTGTAAGGGAAGATGTAGCAGATGTTTATTGTTCAGTTAACAAAGTTATGTATGCCCAGATCTGTGTTAACAGTACAGAAATAAAAGTTGTACAGGTTGAACAAGCCTCATCCAAAGCTCGAAAACCCGAAATGCTCTCAAATCTGAGCCTTTCTCTGAGCATCAACATGATAATTCATCTGGAAATCTCCACACCTGACCTCATGTGTTGGGTTCCAGCAAGGGGAAAGCACACTGAGAATGCTGCATAAAATTACCTTCAGCTGTATTTGTAAAATATGTATGACATGGAAAAAAAAATTGTTATGTAAGGGCTAGCATTGTGGTGCAGTAAATCAAGCTGCTGCCTGCAGTGGTAGCATCCCGCATGGCTGCTGTCTCAAGTCCTATCAAGTTCCCTGCTAATGCTCCTGGGAAAACAGCAGAGGATGAGTATCTGGGCCTATGCCACCCTCATGGGAGACCCACAAGCAACTTCTGGGTCCCAGTCTCAGCCCAGCCCAGCCCCAGCTGTTGTAGCCATTTAAAGAATAAACCGGTATATAAAAACATTCCCATTTTCCCTCTCCTCTCCTCCTCTCTCCCCCTCTTCTTTCCTCCCTCCTCCCCCTCTTCTTTCTTCCCTCCTCCCCCTCTTTCAAATAAATAAACCTTTTCAAAACAATACAACATAGAAATTTGAAAAACAGAACTTCTTGTTTAGACCTGGATTCCTTCTCCAGAGTATCTCATTATACATATGCAAATATTCCAAAAATCCAAATAAATCTGAAATTGAAAGACTTCTAGCATTTTTTACAAAGGATATTCACCCTATATGTACATGTTGAACTCTGGCTCTGTTCTCAATCCCTTGGCTTTGCTGAGGAAGGAAATGTTTTGCTTCTTAGTAGGTTTACTATTTCCTAGATCTGTTATTTATCCATGTGACTTTGGGGAAAATGTTTTGAACTTTTCTGGGCTTGCCCATTTTGGCAGAATTAAGATGTAGTTCAAGTAAGGCAAGTGTGTGAGAAACATTTACTATGTGATTAAGTGCTATTAAAATTGCACAGACTTGTATTTGGGTTAAACATGCTGTATTCTACCAGATTCTAGTCCATGCTTTTCCGTTCTCTGTATCTATGATCTTAGGCAGGGCGTTCACATGAATTCCTTTTCTACATTTGCAAAGGTAAACAAGCTGGGCTCTGAACAGTTTTAAGAGCCCTGTTAGCTTTGACTTTCTAGGTAAGACTCTGTGATTTCCAACAAATCTCTGACCCATACCTTTGGTGCTTGGCTCTTCACGGGCCAAGGATTGTATCCAGCTGGCTGTGAGTAGATGGAAGGATCCATATTGCAGAAAAGAATGCCCAGCAGAGAGCCAACAGCCAGCAGCCAGGGTGCAGCAGGGTGCTTTTGTCCACACCAGGGCTGCCCTGGGCACCGTTGGCTACCTCACCACTAGGTGCTGCCATTGCTTAATTTTGCTCAAAGTGCATTATCTGTCTGACTGTTCCCCGCAACAGTTGGCAGGATGTCCCATGGCTTCACAGTGCTTTCTGGTTCAGTCAGTCTGTAAAGCAGGTGGAATGGTGCACTAATTCAGTCGGGGGTTACAGACTGTCACACGCTGTGTCATTATTCTGTCCCAGGTGCATAGGATCTTGATTCCTTGTTTTCTCTTTCCAGGTAGCAGTTCATTTCCAGGCCAAGGACCAGAATTTCGTTTACTTCTCCTGGCTGTGCAAAAGCACATTCAAGTGACTAAAAAAATGCAACCGCAGTGCATGTTGCATACACGGGCAGCAGCAGGTGGGTCGGCATCCAGTGGAGGGCTGACAGACTGGTGGTGGAGTCGCGCTGCTGTGAAACCATGTTGCAGTCCAGCACACAACTGCTATCTATCCATAGTCCATTCTTGACCAAGCAAGCATGCACGTTATGGGCAGTTACATCCTCAAGTTTTTAAAATCAAGGGAAACTTGTATACTGGGCCTGTTTTTCAGCCTGTTTGCTACCTTTTTTGCATTCTATCCTGTGTGAATTTTACAGACACGGGCTAAAAAGGGTATTCTGACACCTAGACACACATTCCTAGAATGTCATCATATGGTCCTAATTCCATGTCACCAAAAGACACAGAGACAAGACCCTGTTTACAATTTTTTTCTTTTTTTAATTTCGGAAATTTCTGAGGAGATTATTATATATGACATATCTATAGCTATGTGTATGGCCATAGATGTATTTCTGTGTGTACATATGTATAGTCATGTATTCCTACATATGTACATATGAAGCAGAGATATATAAAGTACATAGAAATTCCTTACCTGTAAATAGCCAAAAAGTATGGACATGAAGGATGAATTTTCACACTTAAATAGTCATCAACATGAAGCCATGTTTAATGCTTGTACAATGTGATGCAATAAAATTTAAAATAAATTTATGCACATGGAATATTTTCAGCTGACTCATATGAAATTCTGAGTTTTTTTTTCCTGTTATAATAAGGAAAGTCATAGGCGAGGGGAACCTTATGAAAGGCCTGTCACTCCTGTAGCACTCCTGCAAAATCATTTCACCCTCCAGGAAGATCACATTTTTTGTTCTTGCTCTTCAACTTTTTCTGTCTTTTCTCTGGGCTGCCTTGTTGATGTATAAAGGAGACTAATTAGAAGTCACTGTGGGGAATGGGAAATCGGTGCAATATTTGACACCTGTGTTCCACATCACACTGTCTGGGTTCAGGTCCTAACTCTTCTGTTTCCAGCTTCCTTCTTTAAAAAAAAAAATTTACTTATTCTTATTGGAAAGGCGGTTTTAAAATGAGAAAATCTTCCGTCCGCTGGTTTACTCCCCAAATGGCCTCAGCAGCCACAGTTGAGCCAATCCAAAGCCAGAAGTCAGGAGCTTCTTCCAGGTCTCCCATGTGGGTTCAGAGTCCCAAGGCTTTGGGCCATCCTGTAGTACCTTTCCAGGCCACAAGTAGGGAGCTGGATGGGAAGTGGAGCAGCTGGGACATGAACCGACAGCCATATGGGATCCTGGTGCACACAAAGCAAGGAATTAGCCAGACCCTCCAGCTTTCTTGTAATGTGCATCCTAGGAGGTACCAACTCAGGTAGCTGGGTCCTTACCACTTGTACGGGAGACCCAGATTGAGTTCCCAAATCCTGGTCCAACCCCAACCGTGTGGGCATTTGGAGAGTGAATCAATGTATAGAAACAAATCTGTCTTCCCTTCCTCTCTCTCCCTCACACTCTCTCTATTCCTCCCTCCCCCTCCCACATCTTTCAAGTGAGTAAAAACAGAGATTTGCAAATATCAGTAACAGTTAGCTAAGGAAATGTTAAATATAATTGGTAATATTATCATGGATGCTTTTGATGACCCTGCCTGCTAATGTCTGTGCAAGAGAGTAGCATGTTGTAATTACTGTTCATTCAGCAGAGAGTCAAAAACTGGTTTCTTTAAAAAAAATTATTTTGTTGTATTTAGGTATAGCAGCTTGATGTCTTGATGTACCTGTGCATAATGAAGTTACTACTTCATTCAAAACAATTTATGCAAATCAATCACCTTCTTATTACCTGTATGTGCATGTGATACCTTAACTATGTCAGCTGGAGTGCTGTAATTAATGGTTCTCAAACCTGGTCTCATGTTTGCTCTAGATCCGCTTGAGCTGACTTCCCAGGATTCTGTGGCCTCTACAATGGGATCACTCTGTCATAATTACCAGGCTAGAAAGTCGACGATTTCTTTTACCAGCATTGACACTCTGGCCTGATATATTAATATTTTTAACACTAAAATACGAACCCTAGAAAGGTCTAAACTAAGAAGATGTGTTTTTACGGACACTGAAGGACAATAGTCCAATGACAGAATTTTGGGTTGTTGAGTAGGGACTGTGTGAACTCTTCTTGTTCAGCCCAAGAGAGAAGAATTTCAGGGAAATTTTCAGGAGATTGCTGCTACTGACTCACATTGTAACATTTGTTTGCTATGCCTAAAGATCTGTACAAGGGATCATGGTGCAGTTAGTCCTTGGTTCTGACATTTCCACAAGCTGCTCTCAACCTAAAGAAGTGCTTTTGTCTTTGTTTTTTTCCAAGTGGCTCTGGTAGTCACAATCCTGTTATGTTTCTAGAATACAAAATCCTTCAGCACTCCCTTTCTCTCTTACATTCTTCCTTCATTTCTTTATACTCTCACAGTAAATATTCATATTCATCTTCAATGTTTTTGCATGGAACACATGGTGAATATTCTGAGGTGTTTTAAGGTGTGGGATGATGAGGCAGGCTAAAAGATTATAGAGGAAAATTCTGAGGGACCTCAAAAACAAATGCTTATTAAACGAGTGCATGCAAATGTGATGTGATTAACAATACATTACTGTGTGTTTCTGATTAGCATTTTTCCCAATCTTGATGATGTAGTATTTTAAGTATAAAGCAAATGAATATGCAAGAACTTACAGAGTTAGCAACATATCTAATCTTATGTGTCTTCCTAAAACTAGAGCATTAGAAATATCTTACTTTAAAACTGTTTTCATCATGAAAACTTTATCTGGATTCCTCTTTTAAAAGCAGAGATTCCAGAACTAAAGTTACCTGACTCATTCAGCAAGCAAGATTACTCTTTGAGAAAAAAAAAAAATGTGTTAGTTAAATAATTCCCAGATTCTTGAAGGACACTGTCGCTTCTATTCATTCTTTGTTGGTCAGTGGCAGCACTGCAGATATTCAGCATTTCAGCATGACCCACAGAGTCCTGGCCAACCGGTTTCCCTGCGCTCCGGCCTCTGCTACTGCATGACCATTCCAGTCACTGGGATTCTTGTCTCTCCCCAGTGTTTCCCACCAAGGCCTGCGTTACCTATGGCATACCCCAGATAATGTGTGACAGAGGTCAGGCACCCAACCTGACCTTCCTCAGTCCCTAACAGGAATTGCCAGTGTTTCTCCAGATGAGTAAATGTAAATGGTAGACAGACTTTGCTGATAGCATGGGATCAGTTTAAACTCACTTTCCTGTGAATTTTTTGCTTTACTGTGAAAGAACTAAGTGCATTGTACTCTTTACAATCATTTACTATTACATTTAAATTGATGCTACATAAAACATATGTCTGATATAACAGTGCCAGTTACTCTTTTCCCAGCAGGGACAATAAGTAATTTCTCAAGTTACCCGTTGACAGGATTTAGACATCAACTTCATAATATTTTCAATAGCAACAACAACAAAAATCAAATAAGGCTTGCTTAGGGAAGTTTCTTTTACATGAGTAGTTGTAAATACTTAAAGCACTCAAATTTGATCCTATTACTCTTGATAGGAAGGCGTAAATACTAAAGCTATTACCAGGAAGTTACTGTCGTACTCAGCTTGTATGAAGCTTAGTCCAAGAAATCATGATCACATGATTTCACAAGGTCCAATGTGGACAAACCAGCTTGTATGAACATAGTGGAGGAAATCTTCAAGCCAATTTTAAATATTTGTTACCTTTTTTTTAAACAAAAACTGCAAAAGGTTACACTTCAGGATGTACTTCTAAAGATTACTGTCAAATGAAACCAGGAAATGTTTGCTTACCAGAGGCATCTAAGGCTGTATTAAGGTACTATTTCTGAATGTGAACAAGAGTTCTACAACATTATATCGTTGATTTTCTACTTTAAAACCCATTTGGTTTTTTTTTTTACTAATTATCATTTTTTTCTAACCCAGTAGTTCCCAAGCTCTAGAACACAGTACAGTCACGTGAGCCTTACAACCAGCAGCATTTCTGATTCTGTAGGTCTGCAGTGGGATGCTGAACTTCAAGCTCCAGCAGACAACCATGTAGTATTGTGTTGGAATGGATGGGAACATGCTTTGGAAATCATCGGTCAGTATTTTATGCATATAATTCAGGTTGATTTTATATATGCTATGCTTAAAGCTGAGCTTTATAGTATCTGATTGTGTATTAGTTTAGGGACTGTCACATGGTGGAAAGGAGAGTAGAAAGTGGTTTCAGACTGTGGTTTTAGCACAGTAGCAATTGCCAGTTGACTATATCACCCAACAGAAAGCGTTTCTAACATAGGCTTCCCAAATAACCCAAACATGGAGTATTTCTGGGTGGATCAGGTAAGCACCTCACAAAATCCCTTTACCTCGATCCACATGCTGTGTTAGCTCAAAAAACTAACAGCATCATTTCCCAGCGCCAACCCTGACCCTCACCAGTTTAGGAATGAGCTTGTGCAACATATATGTACCAGCAAATATATTAAGATTATGGGTGGTGGAGTGAAAACAGAAACAACCCAGCAACTGCAACCACCAGCTGATCAGGGTGATGGACTTGCCAGGCCCTGTACTTGCTAGCACATACAAGAATCTGGTTTGAGCACACCTCAGACAAAGTTTCTTTGGAGATCTCCCCAATCAAAATGCTGGACTCAGAACCCTAACCAAGAAAAGAGAGAAGACAGAACAGGTCAACAAACCAACTCAGCTATGATGGACTATGTCAATCAGTGGATTATTCAAGGACGTCATAGTGCTTGGAGTGGCAAGATTGGCAGCGATTCATAACTGTTGAAATATCAAAACCACTTGGGCAAGAACCTCAGAGCATACCCTACATCCGGGACCTGGGGAGGGTGGGAAATTGGGTGGGCCTTCTCCCTTAATATACCCCCTTTTTGAACATGAAGGAAACCATATGGAAAAAATACTAGTCTTACCCACTTTCCTGTAGCCCTTGAACCTTTTTACCCTAATTAACTATGTAAAGATTGTCAATATATAATTTAAAAAAAAAAAAATTATGGGTGGTGGGTCTCAGGGCATCTCATGCCTAGATCCCAGACGCCAGCCACCACGTGCACGTGGTGAGCTGTCCCCAGGCCTGCCTGGACTCCAGGGACTGCTCCCTTCAGGGTGTGTACACTGAGGGGGGAGGTCTCCATGACTGGGCAGGTCCAGGGCCCACCTGACACCCTCATTGGGCGG